TCACACTTCACTCTTCATGCAAAGTAATGTGCAGTGTGCGTGATTCACACGTGACAATCCTTTAACAGCTAAAATGCCTCCTCACCTCCTTACTTAGACCCCAAAGGGCCAGCACACTTTAAGGATCACACGATCCTATCAGATTGGATTCCTCTCTGGATATCACCTTCCACCTCCAGCTTCCACCAGATTAGCAGCCAGCTCCTCCCAGGGTCATAATGAAATACAAACAGAGACCCTCCATAGTGCAACCAGTTTTATTCAGCAATAAATCGGTAGAAAATAGAGTTCCACTCACATTTACGGATGAAACAATCCAGCCTCCTACCACATGCTATGGGTGTACTGCATGGGTACTTCACAGGGTGATCCAATATGGCCCCCACGCCGGAAATGACGTCACCCACTCACCCCCAGCGTTAACGAAAGCTCCTCCCCACGTACCGATGCGTTGCCAGGGTCCTGATGAAGTCACGTGCTGAGCGTGAAGCAACGCATCGGTACGTGGGGAGGAGCTTCCGTTAACTGCTAATCTGGTAGAAGCTGGAGGTGGAAGGCGATATCCAGAGAGGAATCCAATCTGATAGGATCGTGTGATCCTTAAAGCGTGCTGGCCCTTTGGGGTCTAAGTAAGGAGGTGAGGGGGCATTTTAGCCGTTAAAGGATTGTCACGTGTGAATCACGCACACTGCACATTACTTTGCATGAAGAGTGAAGTGTGAAGACCTGCACTAAGCATTGCGTCATCATTAGTATCATTATTATCGATTGTTTGGACTTTTCTTGTAACTGAAGATTGGTTCATCTTTGTTTTGAGCACTGTTATGTGTTTTGTCACTTTATTATTTATGATTATATGTGTCACTGTTTGCACGAAATATTCCCTATAAGGATATACACGTATGACACTATTAATTACTTATTGATCACTCTGGTTTTATACCTGTAGGGGTATATTGTGTTTGATTAATTGCAACACACATTTGCTGCACTGTTTATTTTAATTGTTTATTTTACTTATTTTGGGTATAAGTTTAGTGCCAGCAGCTTTGTTCTAAGGGTAGGATTCCATGTAAGCGCAGGAGGTTTTTTGTGAATTAAACAAAGGTACTATTTTAAATATTAATATCACACTTGACAAGAGGAAAAATGCTGGACTTATTATTCACTATATAGATTGCACTTAAACTCTACCAGCAACTCCCCCTCTAGGACACCTCGTAGAATGTAGAGCTAGTCCTTAAGGGCATCTTAAAGCAACCCCAATGCTGAAGGGAATTCGGGTTGGTATTGGTAGGCCTGAAAATTCATATTCCTTGCAAAATTATGGAAGGATATAAGTCTGCATGCTGGGTATTACAGGCTTGTATAATTCGAAATGGAGAGACCATTTAAATATACAGACAATTGAATACGCTGTTGGCATTTTCATCTGCATACAAAAAAAGCAAGCAAATGTAGCTGCATCACAGGTTTCCCTTTAGTAAATTAAATCCTATATGTTTATCTTTTTCATCTTAACACTTTTTAAAGAAACATCTGTCATTCAGGTAAATCTTTGCAAAAATTATAATTGAATTCACCAAAGGCTGAAAACAGAATATATATAAATAATAAATACTAGAGGTATCAATTTAATTTAAAGCTGTTGCATGATGTGTGAAGTAAATATATTAATATTTTAAATCACTCAGATCAGTCATTCTAAGAAGAAATACAAACTTGAAGGGAATAGGATGGGAGGATGTGTTTTTTTATTTTGCATAAATCAAAATTCACCCTCAATTGCTTTTATTTTTTAAATGCACCTCTCTCTAAACTTATCCTGAATGATTGTATGAACTCCCTCCCCCCAAAAAAGATTATTTAATGAACGCCTACAGAAACAAAAATGTTATAAAACACCAGTAACACATACAAGAACTGTCAGCACTCAGAGCCACAACAAGAGACAAACAAGTCCATAATGTTTATACAAAATGGTCAAAGGCAGGTGGATGTCAAACTGGTAATCAGACCTGGGAGAGATCTGTTCTTCTTTTGCATATTACAGTAACAAAAATGTTCAATCTTATAAATAAGCAGTAAATAAATAACTATATACATATTTCTGCACTTAAAAAATGAAGAGGGAATATTTCATAAATTAGCAATTGTAAATTTAATTGTACATTTGCCAGTAAGATTCACTTGAATATTTTGAAATATGTTTTTAAAGTGGATCTTTGCTTTTGCCAGTGCAGAAAAAAGTTAAGGTATAAAATTATTTCCTGGCTAGTCCTTCTTGGGAAGGGGGTAGGACCAAAACTGAGCTTTTAGCTTTCTCAGTGTATTGGTCAGATTTACTGTACCTTGGTGTACCACTCAATATGTTTAAAGGTTAACTTAAAGCTGATCTCTGGAAGAACAAATGATGTTTGAATACAAGAGCCATCTGAATTCTTCCTTTTCCAGATCTGTGCATGAATCAAGTTCCTCAATTGATTCTAAAAGAAGGTGGTGATAAAGCATGTCCATAAGTGGTGGGCCAAGGCATTTTAGGCATTTTGATGTTGTATCAGATGAATTACAGATAATAAATGGGATACCTGTTCTTTGCAGTATTTTGGATTGGGTGGTTCTCCAAATATAATTTATTAGAACCTTGTGTAGTTTATTGTAGCTATCCAGGAATTTAAAGCTGGCCTTTCATCTATTGTTCCACAGGCATACATAGCTGAACTGAAACGCAAATGCGCGCGTGCACGGAGGGGCGAGGTTCCTTTTTTTTTTTTAGTTATTTTGATTTTTTAACTATTTTTACACTGTCCCTTCCTTTTTTTTATCACTTTTAATGCTATCACAGGGAATGCAAATACCCCCTATAACTTCAATGGGCATTGCCATATATTCTTTTTTGAGAAATCTGGGGTCTATCAAACTCTAGATCTCTCCTCTGCCCTTACATTATCTAATCAAACCAAGATCGGTGTGATCACATGCTTTCCCAATTTACAAATGGTGCTGTTTATATCCTGTGAAACTGAAGTTATGAAATGCTCGTAGCTTCCGATTTCTTACGCTATAGAGATGATTGGCACCATTCTGGTCTCCAATCAGCTCTATGGTCAGCTGGCATTCTCAGGATGCCCCGATGGCAGGGGACTGCCCAAGAAGGCCGTGGTAGGCAGTGGGGGAGGGGAGCATCATCTCCCGCTGCTTGTAAAAGCAATCCTACAGCTAATTAGCCACTAGGATTGCTTTTACATTAAAGCCGATTGTGGGCTGAAAAAAACAATACCAGGATGATGCCTGCAGCTGTAGGCATCATCCTGGTAAAAGCATTCAAAGTCCAGTGATGTACCAGTACCTTGGTTTACGAATTTAATTAGTTCTGCAGGATATTTCGTATAGCAAAAAATTCAGAAACCGAAACACTGTTTCCCATAGGAATGCATTGAAAACCAATTAATCCATTCTGAAGGTCAGATAAACAGTTATTTTATTAACTCATGCGGTATTTTAGTAGTGACAACCATGTGTTAATGCATCAGCTGTCAGCAGGGTTTCCCACTGACAGCTGAATGTAAAAGAATCGCTGGCAATTAAAAAAAAAAATTAATTGCAGGCAATTCACTCAGCTGTCAGGTGCCAGTTTTTAAATGTAATTACTTTTTTTTTCTTTCTTCACTATACACTAGTTCATAAATTCAGCAGTCACTTTCCCCCTCCATCTGAAAGAGAGAAAGTTTCATTTTAGTTTATTTCCCCCAAGTTAAAAGATACAATGTTTCCTTTCAGTTTCTTAAAAAATACAAAGTATCCTTTAGCTCCAGGGAAACTGACAGCTAATGTTGTGAGCTATAGTGAAGAAAAAAAAGATGGCAATTGCATTTAAAAATTAGCACTAATATACGCTTAGTATTGTGAAAAAAATTTGTACAAAATTCGTAAACCTATGCATTATTTTCAATGGATTTTCATTTGTAAACTGAAAATTAGGTTAACAGAGGCATTTGTAAACCGAGGTTTTACTGTACTATGTTCAGTAAAACTATGTTCAGTAAATACTATGTTTTTTTTTTTTTTGTATGCAGCATGACATCACTCTGGTAGGCTCCTCCCTAACGTGTTTCGTGCACCAGCACATTATAAATTTCTTATTCTGCTGGAGTCCTATTAATAAAAATTACTACACTATCAGTACCCATTTGTCTCTGGCTTGTGACATGCGAGCCCCTAAGGTAGAGATTTCCCCCAACTGCTGATGCTTCTGATCTGGTAATAACTTGGAGCTGTCCCTGGGAGCAAAGTGAGTCCTGTGAGGGAGTGGTGTTACCCTGTGTGCCTACGGTATGCTTGATGACCCCGCAGCCCCTGCCCAGACCCAGATGACCATTGGCAGATATATATACACATGAGCATACCTTTTGCGCTTCTGGTGAGTGCATTCATTTACTGGCCCTCATCATAGAGATCACCAACACAGAGCACGGATCACTATTTCATTTGGACTTGATTTGCATTCTCTGTGTATGATGCACTTCAGTCACTTTATATATTGACTTTATATATCTCCTTTTTGATACGTCATATAGAGACGATTCATCACGATACCACATCTTATGTGCTGCATTAGCGCTCACTTCCCATTATTTATTATTATTGTCATATATCATACCTTAGTGCTGCATATATATTGTATTGCATTGTCTGGAGGTCTAGAGGTTCGCCTTTTAATGCTAGCTGCTTTTCTGTTTTTGCGCTCGCATATATTCCTATTTTTTTCGAACGCAGAAGTTTTGCTGGGGAGTATAGATAACTGAAAATGTTTGGTTAAGGTGATTTGTGAGAGGCTGAATTTTGTGGAGCCGGTCAAATTCAGGGTCACCCCGAGGATGACAGAGTTTATTGTCATTGAAATGCATAAAACACATTATACTCTCATATCTATGCTTGGCCATGGCAGCAGAGAACATGGGCATATGATGAATCGGGTCTGTGGAACAATACAACCGCAATAAATTTTTTTTAATAATGCCCATGTTGAGGGTTAGGTCCCCAAAACAATTTAAATTTTGAAACCGTAATGAGTTTCCATGCGAATGTCCTGGCAAGGTTTGAATTTGGGTTGGCGGGGATAAATTGTTGTGCATATAAAATTGCTTTGATCCACAATCAATGCATACAGATCTTCTGTGAAAAACAGCTCCTAAAAATTAAGGGGAGTAGTTAAATTTGCTGTTTCCACCAGAATTCTGGGTTGGGCAGTGAATGGGGAAAGTATGAATGCTGCAGAATTTGTGGGATGCCAATCGGGATTTGCAAGCACATCTGGAAGGATACTAGGGGCTCTATGGGGCCTCTGTGCGAATTCTTGGTAGTTGCAGGACAATACTTGTGCTCGCCACCGCACCAGCTTGCACTGCACTTATGGGATTCGCCATGTCGCCAAGTCATACTGCAGTGCTGGTATTATTATTATACAGGATTTATACAGAGCCAACAGTTTGTTTAGTGCTTTACAATATAACGGAAGACAATACAGCAACAATACAGTTCAATACAAGAGGGTTAGGAGGGCCTGATCCTGGGAGCTTACAATCTAAGAGGTATGTGAAAGACCAGAATGTACTAGGCTGCTGGTGCTCACCAGTTTACCAAAATGTAGCGCGGCACTAGTACTGGCACTCTGCTGCATATGAGAGTCATCAAAATTTACCATCAAGTTCTAACAGAGATCAGGCCTGATTCTGTGAACACTGCGGTTTTGTGTGCAATAGATCAAGTGACAGTGGCCTACTGATACTGCACTTGCTGGGGGAGAAGGGAGGGTAAGTGTAGGGGCTAAACGCAGGTGTTGGCAGGTGCCGGGCTGATCCCGCTAACTTCTATGTATTGCCCATATAGGATAGTATGTTCTGCATGGGGGTTGTTGGACCATAGGTAGAGGTCCTCCCAATACCCCATAAAGATGTTGGCATTAAAATACAAATCCTGTAGACAGAGTGTATTGCAATTAGATGCCTAAGCTAGTTTCCATAAAAAAGAAGTTTGTGTGCCAGCAATGCCCCTTCACCAAAAAATTGTATTTAATTTTTTTCATTTTCCAAAAAATTATGACAAAAATTACATCTTCAAAAACCTCACTCAGCCTCTTACTAAATACCTTTGTCTGTCTGCTTTTCAAAAAGGGTCATTTGTGGGTATTTGTAATGTCATGGCATTATTGTGCCTTAAGAAATGAGCAATCAGTATATTATTTTCAAATAGATATACCATAGTTTGTAGACTCTATAACTTTCACACAGGCTAAATAAGATTCACTGATTTGGATTATTTTTACCATGGAAATGTAACAGAATGGCCTAAATTTGTGAAGGAAGATTATTTGCTTGCAAAACTATATATAACATAAACCAAGAAAACCTTTTTTTTCAAAATGTTAGGATTTTTTTTATTTAATGGAAAAAATGGGGATTGGATATAATACCACCAAAAAAGCTCTATATGTCACAAAAAAAATATTATATAAATGTCATTTGGGTAAAGCATTGCATGACTAAATGTTATTCAAAGTATGACAGCACTGAAATCTAAAAAAAATTGATAGGAGTAGAAAGAGCTTTAAGTGTCTGGTTTTAAAGTGGTTAAAAACCTCAACTCAACTGTTCATGCATTTACCAATTAACAGCGCTGATAAAAAATGGTCTCACCATGAAACATGCAAATATGTTTATGTACTGATAAATATGGTGTACTTTTCAAAGCTAAAGTGTTGCTATCAATTAAGAAGAAAACTAGATGTTCTAAACAGATCAATGTGCACAAATTAGGAACCAGATCATGGACAGTTTTTTTTTTATAGAAAGCAGATTTTCAGCACTTCCTAAGAGAATTCTCAAAGCGCCAATAACTATTTCTCAGATTTACTTTTCTGAAAATGATATAAATAAATATATTTATGGATGCAAAGAAATGGCAGCTTAATATATGTTTTGCACTCTCAGGGTTATTAAAAGATTGTTTATGCAATCCAAAGTTTTTTATGTGAAGTTGCTTTTTTCAGAAAATTAATGCTTTCCTTGAGTGATTCTCTGTTGCTGCAGTTGTAGCTATGGATACCTCCTTCTTACAAAGTATGAGTTTCAAGTTGATTTTTGAATATGAGTTTGATCCAAACCCAGCTTATTTGCAGTTTGGTGAATGGGCATCTGAACCCTGACTGATGTTTGTAAACAATCATGAAACAGAAGTATGTAACTTTGCAGCACAAGCATTTCCACAGCAAACTAACAGTTGCTGGGTGACTGGACTTTGTAAACAGACCAGTTGGGGCATTCTGGGTGACCTTATTGACCGAATATGTTGATGAAGTTATGTGGTCAGTAGTATCACCCTGAATCCTCAGCTGATTTGTTGACATACAACAAATGGCTGGGAATCTTTCATTTCCTGTTGGAGTATCAGTGCATGACCATCTTCAGGCATGATAGGTCATCTTGTTGGCTGGTTATTTTAAATGATGGGGAGGTACATTGCTGAACATTATGATTCATTTTGAATTTACTTAAAGTCACATTGTATTTTTTATTGATTTATTTTTCTCTAATATATGATTTTTTGCAAATGAAGGTGCTTTTATTTACCTTTTCACTTTTTTTGTGAATGAGTATCAAGGGGTGCTGTGTACTTATTTCTAAGGGGGTGGATATCTGTGGGCCCCTATATTCTAAAGGAGTGTTCAGATTCCAGTGAGTTACCCTTGTAGGACCATACATTCTATTTGGGGATAGGATGTGAGGTTGAGATGCCAACAGCGTTATGGGGTATTAGGGGGACCTCTACTTAAGTTCCAACAACCACCCAATACAGAACATATCATCCTATATGGGCGATACATTAAAGATAATATTATTATCTGGAAAATAGTCAACAAGTTATTATTCCAATGTGTAGACAATGGGAGCAGTAGACAATGCTACCAGTGTAAACTCAATGTAAATCACATTTTCCTGCATTATGCAGGGCATAGACGGGTCGTTTATCAGCCGAATTTTCGTCCGCACGAAAAATCGGCCAATATTCACGCCGTTAGTGGGGCAATACCGTTGGCCATTTTTTGTGGATCTTCTCGTTTCTTTTTATCAGTCATGCTGGAAAATCCACGTAAAATGGACGTTTTTCGTAGACAGTGGTGGCAGCATTGGCAACAGCAACGACCGATTTTTCATTTATTGGCCGACAATTTGGCCGATAAACGGCCCGTCTATGGCCAGCCTAATGTACTGTATATCTTTGTCAATCATGATGACCCATGGCCAGATGACATTAGCCTGTTGTAGCAACAACCCACCACGCATGACAATGTTCACTCATATTTGGTCAATGACATCACCAAGGAAAACCACCCTGTTTGTGCACATACAGAAGCCAGATGGTGATTTGTCATTTGTGATGGTAGTAGCCAGGGCCAGGAGGAGGGAGGGGCAGAGCAGGCTCCTGGCCCGGGTGGAGTGTCAAGGGGGGGTGCGCTTGTGACTTAGCAGCCTGTGCCGCTCCTCACTGACAAGAGTAATTCCCTCCTGTCACAAGAAGAGTGGCTGCTGGGGAGAGGATTCTGATGTTTTTCCTACCTCCAGCCTGTAGAGGGAGATGGAGAGCCTACACTGAGACTAAACACTCAGCACAGTCTCAGAGCTGCTCTGCTGAATAGTGAGAGCACACTGCTCTTCTTATCGGCTCTCCCCTAGGTCATGTGACATGTCACATGACTGAGAAGGAAAAGAAGACACTTGTTTAACTGTGAATACAACAAGAAAGGGAGGAACCTAAGCCTTATACCTCCCTTATCTACCTCAGACCCCCCCACATCTCCCCTCTCCTTCTCAGACCACCCCCACACCTCCCTCTCTGCTTCAGACCCCCCACATCTCCACTCCACCTCAGACCCCCCCCTCTGCCTTAGACCCCCCCTGCATACCTCCCTCTCCTCTTCAGATCACCCCACACCTCCCTCTCCTTCTTAGACCCCCCACACCTCCCTCTCCTCTTCAGACCACCCACATCTCTCCTCTCCTCCTCAGAGACTCCCCCATCTCCCCTCTACAACTCAGAACATCCAACACGTCCCTCTCCTCTTCACCTCTTCAGACCCCCCCACATCTCCCTTCTTTTTCTCAGACCCGCCCACACCACCCTCTTCTCTTCAGACCCCTCCACCAATCCCCTCTCCTTCTCAGATCCCCCACATCTCCCTATCCACTTCAGACCCCCCACATCTTCCCTTTCCTCCTCATAGCCCCCACATCTCCCCTCTCCTTCTCAGACTACCCCACACCTTCCTCTCCTCTTCAGACCCCCTACATCTCCCCTCTCCTCCTCTGAGCCCCCCACATCTCCCCTCTCCTCCTCTGAGCCCCCCCACATCTCCCCTTTCCTTCTTAGATCCCCCCCACATTTCCCTCTCCCTTTCATACCCCCACATCTCTCCTCTCCTCAGAGCCCCCTCACATCTCCCCTCTCCTTCTCAGATCCTCCCACTCCTCCCTCTCCTCTTCAACTCTTCAGATCCCCCCCACATCTCCCCTCTCCTTCTGAGACCCACCCACACCTCCCTCTCTGCTTCAGACCCCTCCACCAATCCCCTCACCTTCTCAGACCCCCCACATCTCCCTCTCCACTTCAGACCCCCACATCTCCCCTCTCCTTCTCAGAGCCCCCCCACATCTCCCCTTTCCTTCTCAGACCCCCCACACCTCCCTCTCCCCTTAATACCCCCAACATCTCTTCTCCTCCTCAAAGCCCCCCCACATCTTCCCTCTCCTCCTCATAGCCCCCACATCTCCCCTCTCCTTCTCAGACTACCCCACACCTTCCTCTCCTCTTCAGACCCCATACATCTCCCCTCTCCTCCTCAGAGCCCCCCCACATCTCCCCCTTTCCTTCTTAGATCCCCCCACACTTCCCTCTCCCTTTCATACCCCCACATTTCCTCTCCTTCTCAGAGCCCCCTCACATCTCCCCTCTCCTTCTCAGATCATTCCACTCCTCCCTCTCCTCTTCAACTCTTCAGATCCCCCCACATCTCCCCTCTCCTTCTGAGACCCGCCCACACCTCCCTCTTTGCTTCAGACCCCACCACCAATCCCCTCTCCTTCTCAGATCCCCCCCACATCTCCCTCTCCACTTCAGACCCCCCCACATCTTCAGTCTCCTCCTCAGAGCCCCCACATCTCCCCTCTCTTTCTAAGACTACCCCACACCTTCCTCTCCTCTTCAGATCCCCCTACATCTCCCCTCTCCTCCTCAGAGCCCCCCCCACATCTCCCATTTCCTTCTCAGACCCCCCCCCATACCTCCCTCTCCCCTTAATACTCCCCACATCTTTTTTCTCCTCCTCAAAGCCCCCTCACATCTCCCCTCTCCTTCTCAGACCACCCTACATCTTCATCTCCTCTTCAGACCCTCCACACCTCCCTCTCCTCTTCAAACCCCCCCCACATCTCCCCTCTCCTTCTCAGACCCCCCCCCCACATCTACCCTCTCCTCCTCAGAGCCCTCCCACATCTCCCCTTTCCTTCTCAGACCCCCCACACCTCCCTGCTTCAGCCCCCCCCACATCTCCCCTCTCCACT